TTTTTACCGTGGATCAAACTCGGGGGCCATGCACTTGCCAGTGGAAAATCTAAATCTCCTCTTCAAGCAGGCAAAGGTATGCATCAATTGTTAGACCAGTTCTGGTCATATGTTCTGATAAGGACAGTGTTCATAATTTTATTGTTATAGTTTGCTATTACTTGCCCCAAGGGTAGAATCACTTATCTTACCAAAATTTCCCCCCCCCATCTTACCAAAATTTTTTTTTAAATTTTATTTATTTATTTATCTATTTTGTGTGTGTGTGTGTGTGTGTGTGTGTGTGTGTGGCCAGGGCCTGGCTGGCATGTGGTGCTGGGGGATTGAACCGCGATCCCTGTGCTTTGCTTAGCTTAGCTTAGCTTGTTCTAAGTAGGTGCTTTAGACCACTGAGCCATTCCTCTTTTTTGATTTTTTTTTTTTTTGGCAGAACCGGGGATTGAACTCAGGCCCTTGCGTTTGCCAGGGAAGCACTTATTCCACTGAGCCATCTCCCCGGCCCCTCTTTTTTGATTTTTTGAGAGTGGGTCTTGCTATGGTGTTCAGGCTGATCTTATAACTCTCTCAATATATAGCACAGGATGGCCTTGAACTTTTGTTTGTGATCCTCCTGCTTCAGCCTTCCAAGTGCTGAGATTGCAGCTGTGTGCCTCCATGCCAGATCAATCCTTTCCAAAAATAAATAAAAAAAATACACAAATAAAATAAAAGTCTAGGACCAAGAGGTTGTTATAACAGCTCATTAGATTTGTGGGAGCCTTGGCCGCGGGATGCTGCAACTGTTGGCAGTGTTTCACAAACCCTCAGTTGGCCACGACGTTTCCCTAAGAGATAATCTATCTAAGTACACTATCCAGAAAGATTTACCTATGAGAGGTGATCCCTAGTGCCCCCAAATCCGACAAGATTTCCTATCCAGTGAGAGGAACACAGCAAAACATTGGTATGTTTTACTGGGTGTGGAGAGCAGATATAGGACTGAATTCAGCTCTGCTCGAGATGCAGGGTGAACAGCACCCGGAGGAAGGGCGGAGCCTGGAGTCGCAGCGTGCCCCAGTTCAGGGGGCGGGCTTTGTAACTATCCAATCAGGTGGTCCGAGGAGGGCGTCCTTGCTTGCGCAGAAGACCGGAAGTTGAACATCACCACAGTCCTGGCTGGACTGTCTTGCTTCAGAGCTTCTACTTGTTGCGGGCCGGTTGAGAAGGACTCTGGGAGACACAAACTACACAATGGTGAGCTCTTGGGAGGATCGGTGCTGTGAGATGGACTGAGATGGGGTTGGGATGAAGTCTGGATGCAAGCGTTAGGAACAGCGAGGATGGCCTGGAGCCTCCTTGTGGGCTCCATAGGCTCAGTTCCTCCTGGTCTTTCGCATTGTGCATCCTCTTTTCCTCTTGCCCAGTCTGGTGTCTGGTCCTTTGTTGTGTCCACAACTCCCTGTCTAGGTGCAGCCGCCCTGCCAGCCGGGAGTGCAGTTTCGGGCAGCCCCAGCCTTTGCGTGTCCCCAACTGTGTGTGCAGAGTGGGAGCTGTGGGGAGACCCCGTCCCACGTAGGAACCAGGTGGGGAGATGTGTTGTGCTGCTTCTCTGCTGTCATTATTGCTCCCACTAGCAGACTTTAGTTTTATAAATGTTTGTGATACAGCGTCTCAGACCCACAACGTAGCTCCTCAGACCCATATTTCTTGAGGAGGGCGGATTCCTAAATTTCCAGTTTGTGCCCTTGTTGCCCCATCATGATGATGGCAGTGTCACAAGAATCCAAAGAAAGTTGTAACATTGCTGGAGGTGTGACTCGGTTGTGGAGTGCTTGCCAAGCATGCAGTAGACTCCTGTGTCTCATACACAGAAATGCAAAAACAAAATCGTTGTAATTAGTTAGGTGGCACATCTGTTAACGAAGCGGCTGTTTAAGTGAGGCCTTTACATACAGCGTAGTGTGCTGAGAAAAATGGAGCAGATTTTAATGTGTTTTCAAGGGAAAGAGCAAATGTTTGAGCTAAAAGAGTACTGTCTGAAGGAGCTGTCCCTTCTGGTTTCTTTGCTGCTATATTTGCTTTTTGCTGTGTATCGCAGACAAAACTCGGAGCAGTTTTTCTCCCACAGCTTCAAACTTGCTTAAATTTTTTTGTTTTTATTTATTTATCTATTTGGGGTCATTTTATTTGTGTCTTTATTTGTGTCTTTTAGACAGTGTCCCCTCTTTTAGTTCAAGCTGGCCCTGAACTCACTGTAGCTCAGGCAGGCCTTAAACTCACGCTGATCCTCCTACCTCAGCCTGTGGGGTGCTAGGATTTGAGTCCTGCTTCATCTGGCTTGGTTTGGTTTGTTTTTGTTTTTTGAGGCCTGATTGTCCTTTATCTTGACTGATTGATCCTTCTTCCTTAGCCTCTCAAATGCTGGGATTATAGATGTGTACTACCTGCCTGGCTCTAAGTGCTGATATTATGGACATGGGTCACCAGGTCTCCTAGGTCTGTGTTAAATGCTCAGTGTGAAACTCATTGAGTTCAGGCATCTTCCGTGGACATGTGACCTGGTAGGGGTGGAAAGGCACTGGGGTGTCATTTCCTATTATTAGTCTGCAGACTTATTATTATTATTTTTTTTTTTTGGCGGAACCGGGGATTGAACTCAGGCCCTTGCGCTTGCCAGGGAAGTGTTTATTCCACTGAGCCATCTCTCCAGCCCACTGAGCCATCTCTCTGGTCCCAGACTTGTTTTAAGAAACAAAATGCTGATTGAGGAGGACCTTATGTTAAAGGAATAGCAGTAGGGGGGTATTCCTAAAGATTATGTCTGCAGACATGAATAGTTAGGGGGTAAAAGGATTTTCTCTGAAGGAGGGGTAAATGGAGGAGAACAAAATTGGGAAAGGAAATGGTGAAGGTGGAAAAATTAGAATAAACACAGAAAGTCTTCTGGGGTCAGATTGCTATTAGTGTGACAATAAAGGAAATGTGTGTGCTGCTTAGTCTGAGCATATTAAAAATCACAGACCTTAAGAAGAATTTAGGGGCTGGCAGGATAGGTCAGTTGTCTAAAGTGCCTGCTTGGGCAAACTCAGGCTCAGTGTTACCACATGATGCACCAGACCCGCCCTTAAGGTAGGCCTAGCCAACCAAAAAAAAAAAAAAAAAAAAAAATGGGGGGGGAACACCTGATTGGGGCCTCTCTTCTGTCCTTCTCTTAGACAGAAGCCCCCAATAAATATATTCTACTCTTAAAAAAAAAAAAAAAAAAAAGCACAATTTAAGGGGCTGGGCAGATGGCTCAGTAGAATAAGCACTTGCCTGGCAAGTGCAAGGGCCTGAGTTCAATCTCCAGTTCCGCCAAAAAAAAAAAGCAGGGAGATGGCTCAGTGGAATAAGCACTTGCCTGGCAAGTGCAGGCGCCTGAGTTCAATCCCTGGTTCTGGGGAAAAAAAAAAAAAAGAATTTAATAAAATTTATATGAATATGTCTTTGTTATGACTAGTTATTTAAACCAATTATTTTTTGTTCATTTTGAAAAAAGGTCTCACTATGTAGTTTAGGCTGGCCTTGGATTCATTATGTGATCCCATGTGGCCTCAAACTCATCTCAGTCCTTGTGCCTCAGCTGAAATTAGAGGTATGGGCAACCATACTGGGCCTTAATCATTTATTTGAAAAATAAGAAATTGCCTGATCTTGTCTGCCTTGAAATGAAAGGACATCATTTAAGAGTAATGGGAAAGGATTTCCGCAGGATACAAAAATTGCAATGTGTAGTCCATGTTTGTACTGTACAGAAGATTGAACTCAGTAAATAATCTCTCCCCCTCCACTCAATTTGGAGGTGCCAGAAAGAAAGCATTTGAGACAGGAGGCAAGAGGGCTCAACAAGGCAGTTTAAAGTTTACTTCTGCACAAGGGTACAAGCATGAGGTAATAAGCACACAGGACAAAAGAGAGCTGGCTCTTCTATCCCTAATGCAGGAGATGCAGTTGAACTTTAAATTCATTGGCCGAAGTCAAAGGCTTGCAGTGTATTGTGGTTGACTCACTTGAGGGTAGGGGGTTGATGTGTTGCTGAGTGTGTGAGTGGGGGTGTGCAGCCTGGGATGCAAAATCTTGAAGGAGAGGGTGGTTAGAGAGAGAGGAGATGTGAAGTTTGGAATGAAAAGTTCTTGGTTCTTCATCTTGGGAACCAGCTGCATTCTGCAAAAAGGAAGAGTCATCGCCATTTCTTGGAACTTAGGATATTAAAGCAAGGGAGGTGGATAATGAATAGAATACAGGGTTATTTAAACACAAAATGCAGTTGCACTGGCTTTGTTTTTTGATAGAGAAGACAAAGCCTATTTCTCACACTCCACACTATATTACACACACACACACACACACACACACACACTTGTTGGTACTGGGAATTGAACTCAGGACCTTGCTCTTGCCAGGAAAATGTTTGTGCCACTGCTATATTCCTGGCCCTTTTAGTATCTATTTTTAATTTTGAGACTGTTTCACTAAACTGCAATGGTTGCAGTAAAACTCTTTTATTTTTTTCGACATAGGATCTCTGTGTATTCCAGGCTGGCCTTGAACTCACTATATAGCCCACATGGGCTTCAACTTCTTGGAGTTTATCCTACCTCAGCCTCTAGGGGGCTGGTATTAAAGGCATGAACCCAGGAGCACTTTACAGTGAACTTCTGATCTTTTCTCGGTTTCCTGGGCTGCTGAGAAGACATGCAGGCTTCACTATGCCTGGCTAAAAAGGGGTTCTTTAATCATCCAGACCTATAATATTTGAATAGCAGTGGAATAACTATCACTGACAAAACTAAACAAAAAAGGGAGATATAAGTAAAAGACCCCTTTTTTTTTTTTGGTCGAGCCAGGGATTGAACTCAGGCCCTTGTGCTTGCCAGGGAAGCACTTATTCAACTGAGCTATCTCTGGCCCCAGTAAAGGACCATTTTGTGAAGAAGAA